CTAAGATCCTGAATGGCCTCGATAAGTGCCCCTCGGAGCCGTCTCTTCTCCAGACTCAACAGCCCCAACTCTCTCAGCCTTTCCTCACAGCAGAGCTGCTCCAGCCCTCAGGTCATTTTGGTGGCTCTCTGCTGAACAAGTTCCAATAGGTCCATGTCCTTGTGCTGGGGGCTCCAGAGCTGGACACAGGACTCCAGGTGAGGTCTCCCCAGGGCAGAGCAGAGGGGCAGGGTCACCTCTCTCCATCTGCTGCCCACGCTGCTTTGGATGCAGCCCACGATTCAATTGGCTTCTGGGCTGCTGCTGCACATTGGTGGCTCATGTCCAGCTTTTCACCCACCAGCACTCCCAAGTCTTTCCCTCTCCAGTAAAGCCTCTCCCAGTCTATACTGATAGTGCTGGTTACCCTGGCCCAGGTGCAGGACCCTGCCCTTGGCCTTGTTGAACCTCATGAGGTTCCCCTGAGCCACCTCTCCAGCCTGCCCAGGTCCCTCTGGATGGGCTCCCATCCCTCTGGCATGTCAGCTGCACCTCCCAGCTCAGGATCCTCAGCAAACCTGCTGAGGGTGACTCAGTGACACTGTCTGTGCCACTGATGAAGATGTTAAACAATGCTGGTCCCAGTGTAGACCCCTGAGGGACACCACTCCTCACCATCCTCCATCTGGACATCGAGCCATTGACCATCACTCTCTGGATGCAACCATCCAACCACCTCCTTATCCATCTCACAGTCCACCTACCAAATCCACACCTTTCCAGCTTAGAGATTAGGCTGTTGTGGGGGACCCTGTCAAAGGCCTTGCAGAAGTCCAGATAGATGACATCCACAGCTCTTCCCTTGTCCACTGATGCAGCCACTTCAGTAGAGGAGGCCACTAGGTTGGTCAGGCAGGATGTGCCCCTAGTAAATCCATGCTGACTATCTAAGATTAACCTCCCTGTCCTCCCTATGCCTTAGCATGTCTTCTAGGAGGATCTGTTCCATGATCCTCCCAGGCACAGAGGTGAGGCTGACAGGGTGGTAGTTCCCAGGGTCTGCTTTTTTACCCTTTTTAAAGATGGGCAGGAATTCACCCTCTTCCTAGTCGCTCAGGACTTCACCTGACTGCTGTGACTTCTCAAATACTATGGAGATGTCTTCCCAGATGTTCCAGCCTTGGCTAGGACAAGCCAAGCCCCCTTCAAGCACTCTCCTAGTGACACAGGGACAAGCTATATCTAGTGGCAAAGAAAGACTTGGCCACAGCAAAGAGCTCCCCGGGATGACACCTCACGGACACAACCATGCTGAACACCCCACAACCCCCTCCCAGCCCAGCCCAACCTGCCGGGTGCAGAACCCACCTTGTTCTTGGTGAGGTACTCGATGTTGGACGACAGGTCATCCACCTCCATCTTCATCTCACTCTTCTCCTTCTCCAGCTTCTGCTTGACACGCTGCAGGTTGGCGAGCTGCGCGCTCAGCTCGGCCACGCTGTCCGCGTGCTTCTTGCGCAGCGCGGCCGCCGTCGACTCGTGCTGCAGGGTGGCCTCCTCCAGGTCCCTCCGCAGCTTCAGGAACTCGGCCTCCCTCTTCTTGTTCATCTCCAGCTGCGTGGCCGTGGCCCCCCCGGCCTCCTCCAGCCGCTCGCTCAGCTCCTCCAGCTCCCTCGACACCTCCGCCCGCTGCTTCTCCACCTTGGCCCTGGCGGCGCGCTCGGCCTCCAGCTCCTCCTCCAGCTCCTCGATGCGGGCCTGCAAGGACAGAGTTGTTCTGCCACTGGCCCGGCCCAACAAAAAAAATGATACCACCACCAGCAGGGAGATGTCCTTGTCTACAACACAGTCTGTGTATTGGTTCATTCCATGAATGATGGCTGGGGGTACGAACAGATCAATCAGCTGGGACAGAATTGACGCCACCCCCAATGATCCCACAAAGGATGTAACTCAGCCCACAACAGGGGGTACAAACAGAGACCTGAGGTTGCCCACAGTTGGCATGGGAAACAGCCAGAGCAGCAAGCTGAACACATAAGAGAAAGGTGCCAACATGGTGACTCTCAACCCATCAGCCCACATTCACAAAGGTCTTAAGCAGACCAGGGCCCAGCTCCAGGAGAGTCAGGAGGTCTGCCCTGAACCAGGAAGCTCTGGGGAGTGCACTCCACAGACAGACACTCCTGACTCCCTGCAAGTGGTCCCGGCTTTTATCCCAGAGAGGGACAAGAGTAAGGCCTGGGGAAGCTCCAGCAGCTTTGCTCCCACAATGGGTCAAATCCTCTGATGCTGGGGAGCAAAATGCCAACAGCCTCGAACAA